AACAAAGACCCACGGTTATGCTAGACTCCGGTGTATAGACACTCATCACCACGCCTATACACCGTACTCGATCAATTAGCAAATAGCATTTATGATACTCTAATCCTATTCCCTCAAGCCAAAGTTAGATCAAACACTTACCTCGGTCCGAAAATAGCAATCAAGCCTCTAACACCGCCTTCCCTCTAGAATTCGACTCTGAAACAATGATATCTAATCATAATTAATTCAATAATATCAAATGAGGCTCAACAACATAATCCCATAGCCTAGAAATGAATTTCCTACCATTCTTCCAAAAATAGCAAAATCCGACACCGGGCCCACATGGTCCAAACTCGAGGCTCGGACCAAATTCCAATCACCCATAACCCCACGAGTTCAAATATATAATTTGTTTCAAGATCCGACCCCAAATTGAGGTTGAATCACCCAAAATTTTCAAAAACCTAACTCTACCCAAAAGCCCTAATTTCTACCTTGATTTCATGTTTTTAGGCCTAAAATTTAGTGATTAGATGATAAAATAATCAGGAAACGATGTTAGGATTACTTACCCAACGATTTGTGGAGGAAAGGGAACTTGAATTTCATCTATGGAGGATTTGAGAGAGAGGTTCGTGTGAAGAAGATGGCAAAATCCCGTAATGGCTACTGTTTTAGGCTTTTAAAATAACTGGGCAAAATTGTTCATCGCATTCGCGACACCCCGGTCGCGTTCGCGATGAAGGAAAATGGGCAGGCATCGCGTTCCCGTGAAGGGGAAGGCGAACGCGTAGAAGAAAATGCTGGGGGGTCCAGGTTTGCTCTATGCGAACGCGTAAAAGGCCTCGCGAACGCGATGGAGGGAGCAGCAAGTCTATGCGTTCGCGAACATCTGACTGCGAACGCGAAGAGGAAGTCTCTGGGTCCTGAACTTGACTTACGCGATCGCGCTTATGGAGATGCGAATACGTAGAAGGGGAACACCATGAGCAGTCGAACGCGAGCCTAAGGCCGCGATCACGAAGAAGAAAAGGCTTGAGCAAAAATTGCAGAAAATCTGCTAACTTTCCTAAGTGTAAAACACCCCGAACCACCTCCGAAACACTCCCGAGCCCTCGGGGCTCCCAACCAGACACACACACTAACTCAATATCATCCTACGAACTTGCTCGAGCGATCAAATCGCGAAAATAACATCAAAATCAAAGAATCAAACCTCAAAACTCATGATTTCATTTCAAAGTTCAAAAACTTCCAACTTTAGCTATTCAGGTCCGAAACACGCCATCACGACGCCCGATGGTGGGAAAAATCCGGGTCGTGACACTTGTTTAAGGTATGTATCGGTAAAGGCTGATGTCGATTTTACCTTCTCTCATCTGATTCATCTTTACCACCCCAAGCTGTTTCGCAATGGTGTTTTTACCCTAACCGCAAGAAGTAAAAGGGTTTTGGTAAGCCATGAAGATGATAAAGATCGAGGCTGGTACACCCGTTATGTTGTGGTACCCACGGTTGATTTGGTGGGTGAATCAGATATTCCTTTCCCTGAGAAATGGAACCTTGCACGTAAGTATTTCTTTCTTGCCGTGTTTGTTTTATTTCAACTCCTTTTCTAATTTCATTCTTTTTTGCTTTTTTTTTGTAGCAACCATGGGAGATGTGGAACCCGTTCCTAATTTTCGTGGTTGGGTAGATGCTATTTTGAAGGCCGTGCCTATGGAGGCACGAACCTGAAAATCTATTTCTAACAAACATGGTTGGAAAGTAAAAATTCACGGTATGCGTCTCTTATTGTTTCCCGTATGTTAAATTCTTTCCCCTCTTCTAACTTTTTATCCTTCTTTCTGTCAGGATTTGCTATTCGAGGAATGTCAGCTGAAGTAGCTATTGCCCTTCGAGCTTCTTTTGGTACTCCTCTTTCTTTAGAGAGAGCACAAGCTACGCTGTCAAAGAGGAAAGTTGTTGAAGAGGATTCCGAGGACGATGAAGATGAAGACACCTCTTTGGCAGTTAGACCTAGAGTCAGGAGACGTATCATTTCTGAAGATGAAGCTGAAATTTCTCCTACCCGTGCCTCCTCTCCGGTTAATATTGTTTCCGATGATGAAACCATCCCCAGGGACACCATTGAATCCACTCAACGTTTCTTCACTGAGGGTTTCGAAAGTGGTAAACTAGGTCCGGTTTTAGATGAGGTTCCTCTTTCCTCTTCCATTCCTATTCCTTCTTTAGTTTCAAGTACATCTTTGCCCATTTTATCTGTTCCTGCTTCTTTGTCAATTTCTGCTCCTTTACCTGCTTCGACTCCCTCGACTCCTGTTATTTTTACCTCTTCTACCGTTCCTCCTTCTATAGCTCCCCCTTCCTCTGTTCAGCATGCAGAGGAGGGTTCTAGTAGCAGAAGTTTAGCTATGAGGAGTGTAACACTTGAGGTTCCTGCTACTAACAGTCTTTTAAGGAAGTCTGGTGGAGCAGATGTCTGGCTTAAGCCTTTAATTGGAGATATTGAGAAGAAAAAGATGGACAGTCACAGTTGCTTAACTTTGATGAATGACATAGTTCATTCTACGTTGAAGGTATTCTCCCTTTACTTTTTAATAAGTTTTTTTTTTATTATTTCTAGATTCTTATCTTCATGAGTTGTCTTTGTAGGCCAACCTTATTGGCACGGAGTTGATGGGAAGAATTTCCCTTTTAGAAAAGAAGGCTCGTGAATCTGATAAGACTATTCTCGAGGCTGAGAGGGTAGCTAAGGAAGCCCAGCTGGAGGCAACTAATTGGAAGGAACAGTTTAAAAATGCTCAAGACACGATAAAAGAATTGCAAGAAAGCAACCGTAACCTGGAGCAGCAAAAGCGGACTCTGACTTCGGATTTAGCGAAGGCCAAGGCTTCTTCTAGTAAAGCCGAGAAGGACAAGGAGCGCCTCGAGTGTTCCTTTTCAGAGCAATTATCAAAGTCAAGTGAAGAAATCAGAGAACTTAAAGCACTCTTGAACAAGAAAGAAGAATATGCAGGAGAGTTAGTACAAAACTTGACTCAAGCTCAAGCTGATTTGAAGATCTCCTCTGATAAGGTTCATGCATTGGAGAGTTCTCATGCCTCCCTTGAAGCCAACCTTGATTCCACTTTAGCTGAAAATCAAGTGTTAAAGAATGATCTTGCTATGTGGGAAAGTGATTATGAGCTTCTTGAGGAGAATTTTAATATAGAAGTGAGTTGGGCTTTTCTAAACTCTCGTCGTGATGCTTTAACTGAGGCCAGACAAGAAAACTTTGATTTAGAATCGGAATTGGCCAAGGTTTTGAAAACCATTGAGATGACCCAACAACCACTTGACTTTCCTTCTCCGGCAGATGAAGCTCCCGTGACTGAAGAACCTTTAAATGAAGAAGCTGCTGCTGTGACAATTGAAGTTGAAAATGTTGCTATTCCAGCTCCCGAGGGTGAAACTTCTATGAATCGGTTTGAGGAAGCTGACGCTTCCGTGGCTCTTGCTCCCCTCGAAGAATCTACCATTTCAATTCCAGCTGAAACCGCTTCTGTTGCTGTTTCTTCAGAAGTTACCGTCCCTGAAAGTGAAGCTGATATCACAACTTCTGATGCTCCAGCCCCTCAGTGACCAGTTTATGTTTTCAAACTTTATTTTTATTTGCTTTGTTGATTGGTGGAAAAACGTCCCAATTATCATAATGGGGTCACTTGTTGACTAAGTTTTTACTTAGTCTTTTTAACTATATA